ATTCACAATTGAGATCGTCTGGGCCTGATTGATACGCCGCGTCAAAGAGGCCAGACGAGAGGAAACGAGATGCGATCGGCCACAGCACGCTTCGAGCTCAGCCGAGCAGTGAGGAAGAGAGGTACGACCGAACTACTAGTAGACAGTGAATACTGAGGGTTCGGCCGTGAGCGTCGACAGACCGCATGAGGTCGGAATGCGGGAGATGACATCAAAAACCGCGAAAATTGTCGCTATGGGGGGAGGAGTGATAGCAGTGGATTTAGAAACCAATTCAAAACAGGGGTTTCTAATGATATAATTAAGAGTTACCACTTAATCTACCACTAAATCCCAGGAGGACCCTTCTCGAAGTCAAGAATCTGAGTGTTCGGGAATGAGACCGTTAACAGTGCCTTTATGCTTTCCGGAATTACATCATCGACAGTGTCGACCTCCATCGCCTTTAATATTGATGGTTTACTGTAACTTCTCGGCTTTGGGCGATCCCTCATATCACTCAAACTAAGAATTTCCTTCACTTCGCCTGGGTAAATTACGTCTAAAGGATATGGGGAAATTTCGATTTTAGGCCTAAATTACAAGAGAAAATGAGGAGAAAAACTCTGTGCTCATCCCTGCTGTACCTTTGCCCTTCCTCAGGTTACAAAACTTTTTCCTTATATATTTATGCCCCTGTGCAACAGTCGTACTCATGGAAGACATCCACATTTTGATTTGCCTAGAAAACCGTAGCGGGCTCATTATAGGTTACATCGGGTACGCGAAGGGTAGCTGGTTGGCTAACGACATCGCAGTGGATTCTAACTTCCTGCAGGCCTTTTATCTCACTAACAACGGGCTAACCGAAAGCATCTACATCAGCACACTTCCCCCATCCCCAATAAGTACCTGTAGGAAAGACGATATTGAGGAAGGGGCACGTTATACTTCCCACAATAGGCCACATTTCAGTCATTGATTGTCAATAAATCCTGATCTGTCAGTAGCCAATTGCACTACTCAGAAAGATCTCGGAGTTTGGATTGCAGACAGCCTTAAGCCTTCTACACAATGCTGTAAGGCGGCCGAGGCCGCAACCTCAATGCTATATGCCATCAAGCGGGCATTCGTAGTTTTCGATGAAGACCGCTTCTCCAAAGTCTTCGGCACGTTTATAAGGCCCCATCTCGAATATGCAATTCAGGCCTGGAGACCGTGGATGCATCAGGATTACGATTTGCTCGAAAGGGTGCAGAGACGAGCAACAAACTTAATAAGAGGTCAAAGTGCACTGCCATACGAGATCCGCTTAACTAACCTTAATCTCTATCTTCTGAGTTATAGGCAGTTGCGCGGAGACATGATACAAACTTTCCGTATCGTGCGCGGCTTGGATTGTGACCTTCGGCGCGATGACTTTTTCCAACTCACCACTACAACTCACCTCCGGGGACATCCCTTCAGGCTACGTGTGCCACAGGGTAGACTGAATGTAAGAAAATATTTCTTCTCCATCCGTGTCGTGGAACCGTGGAATAACCTGCCCGAGACGGTTGTTATGTCTCAATCTGTGGAGACATTTAAATGTCGCCTTTACAGATATATGCTGCAGCAACAAGCGGACTATGTGACTTTTTAACCATGTGACTAGTGACATATGTGAATCAATGTATGCATTCACTTAATGCTGTAATTTCTCCACATTTTTGCATGTTTATCGATTTTTTTATGTACAAATAGGGAGTTCAAAGGCGTAAGCCTATTTCCCTCAAATACACTGACTGACTGACTGAATGACATCATCTGTTGTGTGCAGCTATACTTACTTGAACGCAAAAGTCCGTTAAACTGCCTTTCCAGACCGGCATACACGTATTTTCGGCCACCCACAGGGACTAGCTGCAAATCGCACTAGGTTCCAACAGTATTGTCGGATCTGCCGATACATGGGGACGGAGATGGCCCGAGACATTCAAAAGGTCTAGAAGGTGATCTTATGCTATATTTCATCGTAAAGTCCAGTCATACCATTTCTTGGCGTATACGCGACCAATTTCTTTGGTAACGGTCATGTTGTTTTCTGCGGCATTTAGGCATCCTGTATGAATGCATTCTAGAACACTTACTGGAGATGGCGCATTTCTTTCATTCTCTTCAAATTAAATGAAAAATCTGTATGTATTTGGCACAGCTAGCAAGTAATTTTCTGGTAACGTCTTTTATAAACAGCCTCCTCATTTTCGCGGAACACCTCGTTCTCATATCTCCTAGTCCGATGTCTTAGCACCTTTCCGATTCAGACATAAACATTGTTACCGATAGCGTCAGAGCAATATAAATAAGAATCAATAATAGCAAAGGACGGTAGTACACGTCGAGCCAAACGCTTTTCACAATTCGCTCGAGATAATAACGCTCAGGCGCGCGGTGTCGCGAAGTGACTAAATAACGGGAAACCATCAACGACCACATTGCGCAAGAGGGTTAAGCAATCACGCGTCAAAGGCCTCACCACGAAAGATCACAATATCTACTCGATATTGAATGGCACTAGGGAAACACTAAAACACGCCATCAGAACTGCAAAGTAGGATCTGGGTATTCCAGTGGCATTTGACGTTGACCTAACAAAGATGAGCAGAGAAAGACTATTTCAAAAAAGACTACGTGTTCATGGTCCGCCTTGTGGTATCCATTAGTGGGTCTCTTCTGTGAATCTCGCCTTTAAATATATGCTACTTACGAGAACATAATAGACCTATAGAGGTAATTGTAGACGAATATGAGGAGGAGAGTTCCGTCTTTTAGATAATGGAGGATATGACCGCTTTCTTGACAGTATATGTCCAGTCTGATATTAAAAACGGATTTGTGTATTTCTCCTATAGCATTACTAGACGGTTTGTTGACTAGAAACCGAAGAAAATGCCAGAAATTCTGAAGTCTGCAGAGGAAGTACTGTCTCACACAGAAGAACCGCTAACGGGAGCTCTTGATGCTTGACGCATTATTTGCATTCCACTTTGTGTTACAATTATCCGATACATTAACTCAATTGGCCATTGATAAACAACCCACTAAGGAAGAAGTTTTCATTTAGTGGGAGAACATATCGCAAAATAAAATCCATCTGGACTCCAGTAAATGGGGTAAATTGGACTGCTTGTCACAACCACATTTAACCCCACGAAGATATAAACCACATTTCCTTATAGTTTGCGAGATGTCGGCCATGAAACGACTGCAACCCTTTACAAAGGAAAACACCTAAGTTATTGGCGAATACTTGCGGGCGACCTAGCCTAACTATCCTTGCTAGTAAATTCGAAGGGTGCGTTATATGCTATCGTACTTTTTGTACTATTTGTAGTGAGGTGGTCGACCGTGCAAAGCTCTTAAACAGGTAGTCCAATAGACAAATTGCGTAGGTGAACACTTAAAATGACTTAGAGCATACAGCAACTACGGATACAAACTTCCGCGCCTCAATGCCTGAGCGGTTAGTTGTAACAGTGCCTCTGATTGCGTCCTTCAGCGTTTTTTCCATACCTCTTACTACTTCTCGAAAGACTCTCTTTCACCTTCTAGCCCTCTTATGTGAACAACACTTCACACAACCCACATCCTTGTAATACACTCCGAATTGTGCTCTTAAACGCGAGATCAGACATTCGGAAGATAGTCAGAACGAGAATCGTAACCATTAAGTTTGACCCAAATATCTTTGAAAGTAGTCAATTTTGGACCCACTCTCTAGTTTTCGATTCGGCAATCGCCACTGGAAATTCAAGGTCGTACCGAAGATCTTGTTTCTACAATCGCGGCCTCCGTATCATTTTTGTATTCGAGCCAGTTGCACACATCCGGTTTATGATTTGGATAACTCGTCGATTTCCAGAAACTCCTGCCTCGCCCCACTTAGCTTGAGGGAGAAAACCACATTCATACCACATAGAGTTATCAAAGAAAGTGGCAGTGCGCAATAATGAACCTAATGAGGCTAGTTAGTGTTCAGAGAAGGTAAAAAGAGTGAAAGCTATCGTCCAAAACCGAGACATATTTAAGAGTCACAGAGCTCTCTCATTAACGCGCTACTGACAAGGGTTGTCATCCAGAATATCGTCCGATGAAAAAAAGTAACTCGAATTCTTTAAATTTTTCTCGACTGCAAGTATTTCCGCCGCTGCGTCAGACAACTTATGTCCCCGATTCAAACAAGGAAAGAGTGAAAAAGGGGAGCAGTAAAAAGCAGGTGTGACCAAAACTGTAGTTACCGTTAAATCAGGGTGCATCCAAGACAACAACGGAAGTAGCCCACAAAAGACAGCTGCTCAAAAGTGCCACTGAGATACTTCAGTATGTTGGCGGAGTAAAAAGGCTAGGAAATGGTAGTTGCGTAGGGCTGCAATTATTCAGATGAGTCTAGCGTAATGAGATCGGTGAAAAACTCGGTATGCCCATCTTTTGTTCGTCAACCAAGCGAAGTGTGTGGCAGCCGCAATTGTTGTTTGGACAAACAGGCAGTACATTTGAGGCAATTGCGAAAAACTCGGCGGTGGGATTTAAACCCACGAAAGTAAGGACGGGGCCTGAGTACAGGTTAAGCCCTAGCCACATGAGCTACATGGCCCCGCCGGGTGGTCTGTCCCAGGTTTTCATAAGTGCGCACGTGACCTCGTAGGCCCATGCGGTGACTAAATGTGCGAGGGCAATGCAGACAGTTAAAGCGAGTGCGTCAGATGTATGTTGCTGCTCCAGGCCACGCTGCGCCAGTCCCCATGCGATGGATTGGCGGGTGGCCGAACAGACCAATGTGTGATGCGAATGTGGAGGGACATTGTGGGCAGGATAGGTCGGGAGCGTCAGAGTCGGTATCAGGGTTGGTGGTAAAGCTGCTGGTGGTGGGCGCGATGGGTGATTAGGTGTTGATTGGGCTAGGCATGGTGGTTGTGCGTGTGTCGATACTTCGGTGGTTTCCGCCGTCGTAGATACGCCTGTGACCGAGTAGGCCCATGCGGTCAATGAATGAGCGGGGCAGTGAGGACAGTGGAGGCAGATGCGGCGAGTGTGTGTGTGGGTACTACAGGCACTGGTTCCCCAGTCTCTGTGCGATAGATTCGCAAGTCACCGACCACGCCGATGTGTGAGGTGATAGTGCGATCATAATGAGCACAGGATGGGACGGAGTCCACATTCCTGGAGGTGGGTGTTTTGATGGCGGCGGATGTAGATGACGCGACGTCGGATGCTGTTCCACCGTTGGGGGTAGTGCGGGGGTTCGTGGTATCGGCGGAGGTGGTCGTTGTGGTCGACAAAGGAGATGGGGCAGCCCGAATGATGTCAATGGTTGATGAGGGCGGGGCGGTGGCAGTGTGGTCGTCAGTGACGAAGATCGTCGTCGTTTTGGTGTTTGCAGCAGGGGCCGGATTTGGGGTGTTCGTGGAGGAACTTGACTTTAACGCGTTGCTAGTGCATTGCGTCCGAAAGTGTCCTACGAGGCCGATTCGCGTGCCGTATGTGCACCCGCAGTGCAGACACGCTTGCAACGTCTGAGTATTGGCATTGAGGGGTCGAGGTTTTTTGACTTGCAACCTTCCTTTTAGATTTGGCGAGAATTTGCTTCGTAGATTGTTGTGCTGGTCTTCACTTCCTCTATCGAGATCGATCTGTTCTGGACGAGGTCTTCGCGGGTCTCCAAACTGATCTTCATTTGTTTCAGCGAGTTCTTCAGAGTGTCCTTGTAGCGGCGGCTTGGACTGCCTTACCTATGAGCACCCGTGGCGACATCACCATAGAAGAGCCGTTTTGGTGGGCGTACATCTTCCATCCTTATGAGCTTGCCGCTACAACGTAGTTACAGTTGCCTCAGCAAGGCGTGGATGCTAAGTATTCCGGTCCCTTCTAGGACTTCCGTTTCCATGATCCTGTCTTGCTATATGAGCTCCAGTAGTCTGTTTTGGCACAGCGAGTGACCGATCTAACGGAATTCTGACCGAAATTTCGAACTGCGCTTTCAATTAAGAAGGATTACTTAGATGGGGTTGTAATACAGATAACCACGCGATATAATCCTATAGTATTTCGGACTCGACAGGCTGTCGGCTTTAGAATGTACTTCTTTCGGACATGCTCTAGGGACATTACCTGGTAAAAAATGGGTACTTCACTTTTGGGCATTTTTCACATTAATTTTCGATGGTCACATACATTTAAATATATTCTATAGAAAACATGCAAACAAATATGCTTTCGTCTACGCCTATAATAGAAAATCCCAACATCTTTATATTTTATACCAGAAGAAGGAGTATAATTAGGTTTTAAACAGTTCCTAATTATGGGATTTTTAAGACCGTGCAACGGCCATTCATACAGCATAGTACCTGTCCGTTAACCAATGCTCCTCATGAAATGTACAACATGGTCCCCATCCATTGCAAAATTTGATGAACTACATACTGTATCTTTTCAAAGTCGTGGAGGAATATGCGATTTTCATTACGCGGAAAACATGCACCTTGTAGAGTGAAATCTCCAAACGCTAATGCAACGACTGATCAAGCTCAAAATTGGTAAGATCGCAGTTCGTAGTCTGGGATTATAGGTCGAGATTGTTGGCGTACTGGCTTGTTTTCAGTAGGCGGTTTAAATTAGATTCTGCTGTTCGCCGGCGTCGGTCAGGTTGGGGTACTTCGCTTATGTCCTAGTCTTCGGGAACGTGGTTTGGCTCTGGTGTTGTTGTCTTACCATTGCCATACTCGCTGCCGACATCGTCGACGGCGATGGTTTTCCTTGGCGATATTTCGATGGTCTTGTTATCAGCTTGCTATCTGCATGTTCGATTCATTCATTTATTCATATTCGGCTAGACGTACAATTTCACATCTAAGTTTTTGCTTATCTTTGCGTCAACTGCGTTACGTTATGGCTGCCGTTGCTGCTTTGCCCGAACAGATACGCTTGCGCTACATGGGGCAGGAACCTTTCCCAGGCTTTAGGCAAGTTACTTGCCTTCACAATGTACCACAGGCGGTATTGGGCTTCGTCGATGTATACCAGTACCTTTCTGCCTTAATGAGTCCCTGTTCGCGCAATTTCCTTTTTAGTCTACTCCAGTATGCTTCTATGGCGTTGGTATTCTTCTTCGTGGTTGGAACCACAAAATTGGCGGAGTGATTGACGGTCAGATGGCGATAGGCTTCCTCTGGCAGACGGGCATACGCCTTCCACTGGTCCGTCACTATTACACTGCCGGGGCTACCAATTTCTTTATTACCGCATTCAGGGAGGCCCAGCTTCGATCGTTGACTTGTTCGAAGATGGCCTTCCTTGTGATTGTGTCATACACGCTTAGAAATAGTCATCGAATCGAAAATCCTTACCCAAAACCCAGCACTACTTCTTCATGCGACCAACGTTGAACTTCCGGCTTGTTATCATAGTCTCACCAACATGGACTTCTACGTTCGGTCCGCCAAACTGGTTCATCTCCAAGAGGAGGGCTTTAGTAAAGAAATACCGCCAGATGTCATACCACTCCACAGCAGCATTTCTACTCATTCTCACCAACGCAGCCCATCTGCTTACGCCAGTTATCCTCCAAAAAGGCAAGGGCGGTTCTTGCTGCCTTCAGTAAAGTCAGATGGCTTCCTTCGAACACTGAACCTGTTCTTACTGCCTTTTTGGTACCACATTTGTTACACCTTAAGACTGCATTAGATTACTAGTTTTGCATACCTGAAGGCGAGGCCGTCCGTGTGCGGACGCAGTGTTCGCATTCGCATGGGCGTTCGGCATCGATATCTCACCTCGGAAGCCAGCAGTCCTTTCGCTTGCAAACACTGAACCAGATTGGGCGACTGGATCGTTTCAAGGATCTGCGCATACTCCGACGGTTTACTAGTTTAGGGAGCAGCCTTCCGTGCCTTTCTTGCATTCTGCGTTCTACAACTGCATAACCGCATGCCAATTATTTGTCATAATAATGATTGATATGTGCAAACCGCTCGTCATAATGTTCCCAGCGCGGCTTTATTACCGGTCTCGTCCATCATACGCGTTTATACTTACCATACTTGGGCTTCGCTGTCCGTTGGTTTACCTTCCCTTGCGGGTTCACTAAAACTCATCATCAGGCGTGGGACTTTTCCGGGCACCGTCTGCGGCATGACCTTGCCATTCGCTGCCCTCCACCTATTGGTTGCTAAGGCAGCGTCGTCAGGTAGTCCTACCTCTTTCCACCGCATAGACCTTCCGCAGGCTGCGCTACGTGCGAAGGGTTCTCCTTCGATTTGTTTGCCGTTATTTCAGCTCAGAAAAGCTTCCCTCCTTGCCCATGGAAACATGGCCTTTTGATTTCTTGCCGTTTGTCCTCTTACCCCCCCCCCCTACATTTACCCCACCCTATAAACTCCCCATTTCCACCGGTCCCGTAAAACAGGGAAATACCGGGTGGCTTCCACATCCCGGGCTACGAAATGCGATCTGACCCCGCTTATTACCAAGTAAGGTTCGTAGAGAAGGTCGGCAGGAAGTGTATTCAAAAGCCGACACCCTCTCGAGTCCGAAACATTACAGGATCATGTCGCATGGTAATCAGTATTACAACCCCATCTAAGTAATCCTTCTTAATCGAAAACGCAATTCGAAATTTCGGTCAACATTTCATTAGATTGGTCAGTCACTGTGTTTTGCGAAGGCAACTGAGATGGAAGTGGTTGATCTTCCTGGCATGGCTGGAGTATACGTTTGTCCTGTCTCATGATCGTATACGTAGTTTAGCTCCGAAAAGAAAACATGTTATTGCCCTCACCATGCATTCTACGGTTCGGCAACATGTTGAATAAGGCTGGGGCCTACAGGAACTAGTGTACAGACACCGTAAGTCTCCACTTTTATTCGCCAGCAAGCAGCCCAAATCGTTTGGACATAGATGGCCAAAATGGTCGCGAACACGATCGAATGTTGGCATTTTCGCCCTGCACTCGTCGGAAATTGGGGGACGACTGTAGGTTTGGTTCGAAATGGCGGGTCACTTGATGGGCAACATCCTCCTCCACCTGAGGAACAAAAATGTGCCGAGGTAATTGCTTTGCACCGCCGTCTGCAACTACCGTCTCGCCAGGCACCAAGGGTAAAAAATGTTTTAATACGTGTTCTACAGTGCGTGACCAATCTCATGAAATGTTGGCCAAAATTCTGAAATGTGTTTTCGATTAGGAAAGATTACTTAGGTGGGATTGTTAGATTGACTGGTATGCAGCATAATCTTAAAGTATTTCTGACTCATCAGTATGTTGGAGTTTGGATGCACCCCTTTCTGGCCTTCAGCAGAAACGGTGATCTTCAAAAAATGACTACTCATGAAGTATGAATTTTGCGTATTGATTTTCGACGGTCCTGCAAATTCAAATATATTTTAGAGAAAACGGGCACAGAATGCACCTTCTTTTACTTGTTCGGTAGAAAACCACACTGTTTTCAGATTTTATACACGAATAAAGAATATATTAAGGCTTTAAAAAGTTTCTAATTATGAGATTTTCAAGACCGTGCGATATCCATATATACAACATCGTACATGTCCATTTACGAAGGCTTTTCATGAAATTTACAACACCGTCCGGATCCATTGGAAAAAGTTATGAACTCTATTTGGCACCTTCTTAAAGGCATAGAGTGTCCGAAATGATGAGTCCGAAATGCTATAAGATTATGCTGCATGCTAATCAATATTATAACCCCACATAAGACATCCTTCCTAATCGAAAACACATTTCAGAATTTCGGTCAACATTTTATGAGATCGGTCACGTACTGTAATTCGTGAATTGATTGGACAGCAGTGGGCTTTTCGATGTTCCCGACAAGAGTATTCCGCGAATCACTCAAAGCAGGAAATATCTAGCCTGACAGGGAGTCGACCAGGCAAACTCTCGACCTTAGTTGAAGTACTCTGCAAAATTGGGTTGCCAGGACAAGAATTTTTGAATCATCTTAATCCGCCACTTACGATTCATTATAGTGTATACACGGACCTGTCTTCCAACAAACATTTCTGCTATCATTGGGTTTCTGACGCCGGTCGAACGCGAAGGACCAAATGAGACAAGTGGTGGCGCGATCTGGACACTTAACCAGAACAATGTGCCTGTTTAGGTGTTTTTTGGGCACACTGAAACAAAACGGCCTACGGGCAGAATGACATTACCGACAAAGACAATGGAGACTGGAATGGCCAGTTCTGGCTTATTAGCCGTCGTCAGCCAGTCATACCCAAGCCCGAAGTGTGGAAAACCCAAGCCTGGAACTCGCGACCTGTTAGCTAGAAGTCCACGCCTCTAACCACTGCGCCGCGAGTCTCATTTGGTCCTTCGCGTTCGACTGGCGTCAGAAACCCAGTGATACCAGAAATGTTTGTTGGAAGACAGGTCCGTGTATACACTATAATGAATCGGAAGTGGCGGATTAAGAAGATTCAAAAATTATTGTCCTGGCAACTCAATTTTGCAGAGTACTTGAACTAAGGTTGAGAGTTTGCCGGGTCGACTCCCTGCCAGGCTAGATATTTCCTGCCTCGGGTAAGTCGTTGAATACTCTTGTCGGGAACAACGGCTTACGTCATAATAAGCGTTAAAGCTGAACTTAAGGTAGACAAAAAGGGCGAAATCAACAGCCGCATTGCAGGCAGTAGCCCGTTAATACCCACCAGGCTTCTGTTTCGGAAGGGAGAACACGATGTTTTGTGCTTGCGAAATATGAATCACAATTATAACCAGCCGGGAATTTGGCGTGCGACTGGCTCGTGTGTGTGTGTGAAGACAAGTG